AATGAAAAACTCTTCATATTTTTATGTTTGATTTCTTTATAAGGAAATTGCAAGTAAGAGAAGATAAGGTTTATCTTTGAAAATGAAAAAAAAAATTAATATTACCGCATGAACATTTGCACTCATTAATTCAGAGCACCATCTTATCTGTAAATTAAATTATTTATTTATTTATATTTCATTCTGTCCCAATCAAGGACAAAAGTGTTCATTGTCATAATACTTCACAATCGTTTATGAAGAGCGTTTATGTTTAAGGTTTGTTACGTTCTTTTCAAAAGTCGAATTTATGAAAATTAATCGACATGAAAGATGTAAAATCTAATAGCCCACAGTACAGATACCTTTTTATCAAATTATTAATATCTGTCTAAAAGTTCGTGAATTGCTTCATCTCATCGTAAACTACGACATTTTTATTTACGAATAATCTTAGAAATGGAGCGTTTCATGTACACTTTTTTATTTAATCGGATACTAAAAACTCATGCACATCCATTTGCTTTCCACTTGAGTCTTAAGATAATTTGATCATAAAGAAGAAAAAAAAGGTGGCCTACAAAAATATTGGGCCATTTGGCATGATCTTCATCTTTAACATGTCAAAATAAACAGGTTATATTATAGATCAAACGGCCTAATATTTTTGTAGGCCACCTTGTTTCTCGATTGTATGATCAAATTATCATACCATTCAAGTAGAAAGCAAATGGTTGGTTTTAATGAATATTTTTTACCCAATTGAATAGACAAAGTTTACCGATTTCCAGATTGAAAACGCAAACTGATTTTTTTTGTAAATAAAAAATGTATAGTTATATTTTATATTATATATATACTTTTTTTATATATTGAGAAATATAACATTGAAAATCGTCATAGTGAGGTTAGGCTACAATCACACTATAGGTTAAAATGAGATGAAGCTATTTACGAAGTTTCAGGCGGATGTTAATAATTTGATAAAAAGGGGTCTGTACAACGGACAATAAACTTCGGAGCGAGCATCAAGCAGTCTATACCAAGAACGACGAGTTCCTATACAATCACCGGATTTTATTATACGTCATAAATAAGATAACGTCACACGTTAAGTAACTCGGTTTAAATATTATTTGGAGGAATTGGACCCAAATTTTAACATTGGTTAAATTTTAACGTGAGTTAGTTAACAGAGGATGATAACTTTAATCACGACTGTTGGTGCAACGGGTCTTAGTACCGGGGCATGTGAGAACTCAATGTCCAATTCGTAATCTGCAGAGGACTGTCTCTTCTTTCCTGGAGTACCGGTGAGAGATTTCCCATTTAGAACAGTAGATTCTCCACCTAGACAAGCGACTAACTTGGAATCCTCATACTAGACTGAAACGACAAGAAACCGCTCGACGTTTCCGATTACTTCAGCACTTACTAGACAAACGCTCTAAACTTCCCATTAATTACAAAAGACTCATATACTTGACTATAATAAGACCTATTTGGACGGAGTTGAGCTATGGGGCTCCACTAAACCATCGAATTCCTCTCGCATCCAATCCTTACAATCCAAAATCCTTCGTAAAATCCTCAATGCTCCTTACTTTGTCACTAATAAAATTATCCATAAAGATGTTAATGTTCCTCATGTTTCAGATCTGGCCCAATCCAGATACCTATCCTTTCATAATAAACTTCCGAATCATCCCAACCCTCTAGTTTCTAATCTTGCTTCCTCTTCAATTCCTGATAACCCTCTGAGGCGTCTGAAGAGAAGATGGCTCCGTGATCTCCTAATGTAGTCATATCATTAGAGTGCTACCATTGGGTAGTTACTCAGCAAGTGTATTCATATCATTATATCTATTATGTCCAAATTTACTAAATGTATTTATGTAATACAGTTGTAAATGTCATTAAGAAAAAAAGAACAGTAGATTATTATTTCCTTTAATTTTGACTCTTTTTGACAACATTAAATTAATTGTAGTAAAGATCGGTATCTCTGCCTTAACACGTTATTGCTGACTGGCGTCGCACAAAACACCCCTCAAGTTCCTTCACTCGTCGCAAGGGTTCGTGCTTGTATTGTGCAATAGTATTGGCGACCCTTAGAGGTGGCCGAACACCCCTCACCGTACTAAATATCCCGAGGTTCGAAGTGGATAAGACGTACTACCGCTATAGTACTGCCATATTAATGAACCCGGGACACGCCACTTAAGACGGCAAGGTTCACTTAATGATTGTCCATGCAGGCCTCAACCATTCACATGTTAATGAAGCCGTTGTCGTCGCTCGAGGAAACCTATTCACCTCTCTCGGGGGAGGGTAGAGCTGTCTTCCGTAGGTCCAGTTAATTCGTGACCATCTCGTACTAGTGTTGTAAATATTAGCCTCGAGCTAAGGCTCAAGTCGTAAAGGATCGGATCTTGAGCCTTTAAACCTCGGATCTCCAAGGCTCGAGTTGAAGCCTCATAAGGTTCAAGCCTTGATGAATTTATATTAAAAAAAAAATTAAATTATTAAATTATTGCACATTTTCCTAAACAAATATTTTTTTTCTGTTTGTTGTAACAATGTGAATATATTATCTTTCTGCTGATATTAACAATGTGAATATATTTTTGAAATATAGTGAACTCGAGCCTTTTATTACGACTAGGTGGGTGATACTTCGTTTCACGTTTTTTTTTTTTTTTTTTTGAGCGGGGGTGTAACTCCTTCCCCCTCCGATTTTTTAAATATAAAATGGCAGTATGTTTGGGTAGATGGGTGATACTTTGTTTAACTTTTTTTATTTTTTTGGGGAAGGGAGAGTACATCTAACCCTCCGAATTTTTTTAAAGATAAAACGGCAAAATGTTTTGGTAGATGGGTAATACTATTTTCACTTTAATTTTTTTTTTTTTTGGTGTGGAGGCGAATTACCTAAATTTCGAATTCACAAAACGTTTTTAAAAAATCAGCACCATTAAAAAAGTAATTAGTGTCTTTATTCAATAAACCGACATTTATACTATTATACAACTTTTTAAAAGATAAAATGGCAATTATGTTTGGGTAGGTGGGTGATGCTTTTTCTACTTTCATTTTTTTTTTTTTTTTTTGGTTGTAGCAAATTATATAATATAATAAACAATAGCCTTATCAGGTAAAACTATAATTCAAGGAACTGTCAAAGATGTTATACTTTTAACAAACACCAGCTAGAACAGTTTACTCAAACCTTAATAGCCTTCTCCCCGAGCTTCTTTACAACACTATCTCATGCTGGTTAGATCATTTATTTATTTTAATTACTTCGCTCCATATCCAGCGAGGATACTCTGAATAGCCGTTCCTATAATTCAACTTGAAAGTCCGTCTAAAAGTATTAAGGGATCACAGCAAAGTTCCTATTTAATATAAATTAAATGAAAGGAAAGCAGCACTGTTACCATCTCTTGGCAGGTAAGAGAAGCATAGAGAGACAGAGATCTAAACATGCAGATTTCCTACAAGATTCATGTATACGTGAGACAGTATAAGATTGACTTTTTAGCTATCTCGACAGAACTTAAAAATAAAAAAATATTAGAAATAAAAGTTCTGTAAAACCTTTACTTGCTAGTAATTCGCTAGGAAAAAGTTGCAAAATAGTTGAACAAATATGGATAGTAAAAACTTAACGAAATCTTCCTTCCTCAGTTTAGACGGATGGACTCGATTTGGGTGCTATAATATTTAATAAGTATTAAAGTATTGTAAGTATTGTAGAGCTCGAATAAGGGTCTCATCACCACGTAGGACAAAACTCTCGACAAACACATAGATAATTTTTTACCTAAATAGTTACTTAAATTCAATAGGGATAAAATTCTATATAATTTGTCACACTTAATGGAATGGCGAAATACGAATAGTGGTTGGAATTAGTTTATGTTCGTGTTGGTTAGATTGGGTAAATATTTTGAATATCACAAACCTCGAAGAATGGTGTCAAAAGTTGAGGAATAAAATCAACACCAATAAATCATATCATATTACCTTTACCCTCCCTCATAAACCCAAGACTTCCTGTCCTGCAGTATCCTTTAATAATACTCCAATTATCCCCGTTGAACAAATACCTAGGACTCCACCTGGACAAGCGTCTCACTTGGAATCCTCATACAAGACTAAAACAAGAAACCACTTCTTACTTTGGCACAAATAAAATCATCCATAATGACCTTAATGTTCCATATGTTTCCCATTTGGCCCAATCCAGATACCTATCCTTCCATAATAAACATCAGAACCAACCGAGCCCTTTGGTTTCTAACCTTGCTTCCTCTTCGATCCCAGATAACCCTACAAGACGTTTGAAAAGAAGATGGCCTCGTGATCTCCTTATGTAGACGTATTATTAGAATGCTACCAGTGGATAGTTTCTCAAAAAGCGTTTTCATGTCATTGTATTCCTGTGTACACATTTACTAGATGTATTTATATTCTAATACAGTTGTAAATATCACGAATAAATAACAAAAAGTATATAAAAAGTAAATATCACATTATATATAATTTTTTTTAATTTTCGAATATATGTATATAATTTTTTTTTTTGGTTTCTAAAATTTGAATCAGCGAATCATAATAGAGAAGAAGGATCGCGATTAAATCTGATATCACCCCTTTCCGTACAGCACCTCAAAATTAAAACCTGAATGTCCTAGCTGTCCTGCTTTTTAGTTCACCTGATTCTGATAACTTATTAAAGCGATTTGGAAAGATTGTAATGACCGAGAATGTTAAGACTTGATCTTAATATCTTCAGGCCTAGCGGCATTGCTTTAAACCAAAGATGGACTGGCAAAATGTATTTCTTGTCAGACCTACAGAACGAATCTTGACCTTCTCAGTCTGGTAAGAGTAGATTGTAGGATCTGAAGGGTTGCCTCCCCCTAAGCCAGAAAGTAGGGGGAAAGAAATGGATTTAGGGACCATATTTTTCGAATATGTCAAGTATAATAAAATATGCTAAGCAGGTCCGGCACTCATCGCCCCCACGGTTTGACGAGATGATGACGGGAGGATATGAATGGGCATGAGATACAGGAACTGGACATTGCTGGGAACTGCGGATAATGGGGGAAGAGCCCTGAATAAACCTGTTTGAAGACAGGGAGCAGTGGGAACTGTGACTCGGGGGTGTGCCGCGCTGCCATAGCGATCCATTTAAATATCAATGTCCTTAACGGCAGGAAATGGGGGTTTGGTATAATTTCCGGCGGCCGGAAGCGGTCCACTCCTTACTTCCTCCGCGGAGGTAACAACCTATCATTGTAAGGATAATTACTCTTTGCCTCGCCCTAAGTCGGTCCATGCCGGAGGGCACTCGTGTACGCCACTTTCACAGGCTCCGGGCAAACGATCCACCATAGTCTATAGGTGGATCACCTCTGAACAGTGTTACGAAGGTTCAATTAAATGGATCAAAAATAAATATAAACAGAATGTCCCGTAAGTAGAGGAGTAGTAGCCATCAAGATCTACAAAAAAGTTCATATAATCAATAGCCCAATTTCTAGCAGAAAAGTAGTTAATTTAAGATTTTTTTTTATGTGTGCTGTCAGGAAGAAGAGTAGGACGTTGGTAGGCGTGAGGGAAAGGAGAGCCACGCAGAGTCCCTTCCTAACGTGACTTTATATTTATAGTTAGTGGAGGAGATCCCTCATCCAGCTTCTTTTGAGCCGTCTACCGGTGCCATCGGGCATGTTGATTGTGGCCATGCCGTTAATTAGTGTGTTAGAATGTCCGTATAAGTTATTGTGAAATCTTTTGTAGTATTCTAGTCCGTGGTACACACCCATTTTTATCAAATTATTAACATCCGGCTGAAACTGCGTAAATAGATTGGTATTTACCAATGGCCAGATTCTCCACTCACAGCATGAGTGTATGTGGCTAAAGCACTCTTGCTCAATCTCCACTGGGTTTAGCTCCAATGACGCGGTTGAGAGAGAAGTGCAGAGATCTCCTGGAGTCATGCTTTTCTCTCTACAGTTGGAGGGACAAGTATGCTTTGGAGTTCTCTCACCAGATTGTAAATATTGTATATAGGTATGTATGTGTTCTTTTTATTTATTTCTTTATAATTTATTTTATTTATTGTACATAGAGTGTGAATGTGATCTCAGAACACTATTATAAATGTCCTTGAGACAGATTGTAATATTTTTTAATAAATAAGTTTAAAAACAAGTATTTACGAATATTCACGGAATTGGGACGTTTTCAATCTGGAGGTCGGCAAACTTTGTCTATTTACTTGGGTACTAAAAACTAGTAAATACTCATTTGCTTTCTACTTGGATAGTAAGATAATTTGATCATATAATTCAGAAAAAAATATGGCCAGCAAAAAAATTGGGGCTTATGGCCTATAAATCTTTTGACATTTGGGGGTGTAGGTCACACCGAACGGCTCAATATTTTTTAAGGCGACCTTTTTTCTCGATTTCGTGCTCAAATTATCTTCCGATTCAAGTAAAAAGCAAATGGGTATTAACGAGTTTTTAGTGTCTGATTAAATAGAGAAAGTTTGCTGACCTCCAGATTGAAAACGCTCAAATTTAAAGCATTTTCGTAAATATAATAGCTGTAGTGGGTGACACATATACAGGACGCAGTCATTATAAAAAAAAAATGATAGTGACTCCCCAACCCCCTCGCTCCCTCTGACAGTGTTTACTTACCTTTTGCTATCTGAAAAAGGACAACTGGGAAATCCTCCCCCGACCTTTTCACTTACCTACCAAATGCGTCAGTACTTGAAAGCCTTCAGGGCTCGAACCACGGTTAGTAAGAGAGAATATTACAAATTTTTATAAATGGATTATATACATTTTTTTTTTTAGTTTGTATAACTTTATACCTATTTCATTTTTAATATTGTATATTGCAATAATATTTAAGATTCGTGTACCATCAATCACTATATGTTTTCATTATTAGCCGTATAATATTATATCTATGATTGTATTTTAAAATTTTGCAGCACTGATGATGACCCACATGTAAGGGTTGAAACGTCGGCACAAATAAAAAAAAATATAATGACTGCCTTCTGAATATTTGTCACCCATGATATCTAGAACAGTCGATTAGCTTCCTTCAATAATTCATTAAAATAGTTTTAGGTTACGATGAGATGAAGCAATTTACGAAGTTCCAGGTAGATGTTAATAATTTGATAAAAAGGGTCTGTACCACGGACTATAATTACAACAGCTGTAATAAATCCACCATTTTTCAAACTGTCACCTGGTTTACTGCCAGCGTGTAAACGTGTGCATTGTCCCACAGACTAGAAAATACTAACTGTACAGTAATTGCTATCGTTTAAACGAGGATTCGTCCTGGCTTACTGCCTCATCAATGAAAACAGCGATTATAATCAAAACAGGCAATCAATCCAAGTCTTCATTAGGAACCGCTTTATTGGGACCGGATCAGAACAGTCTAAATAATCTGAATGACCATAGCTTAATCTGGGCAGAACAATCTGGACTGTTATCCCCAGCCCATAGAACCCAAAAATAGATCGTCTATTTTTATCATTTTTTTTTTTTTTTTTACACGTTCCAAAATAAATAAGTAATTTTTTTTTAAGTATGCAATATAAAAGTGATTGAAGTATAAAAAAAAACGAATGAAAATCACAGAAATTGTGTCACAGAAAGAAGACACATGAGGAAGTCGAAAAGTATTTTAATGATTAATATCTGGAAAAATCGATTCTTCCAATTAAGGGAATTAAATCTCTATCACTTTTTGCATTTATTTTTTATTTAATTTATTTTATTGAGTATTAATACAGTCTGCTGCACTGAAGAGCATTGGTACTAGGGCTATAGTATTCATTCACACGATATGTACATAAGAAAGGAAAATAAATAAAAATAAGTAAGGAGAGAAAGAAAAAAAAAATTATATATAAATAAAAAGATAAAGTAATATACAAGATAAGTAAAATGCAGATTAAATCCGAATGATAATAAAATAAATAAAGCACATTAACACCTATGTACAATATTTATTTTGGTCCAGGGGACTTTGAATCAAGTGCATGTATTTAAATTCTAACCTTTTACCCTTAGAAAATTTACCAAAATACAGTAGTCCATGGTACCTCTTTTTATCAAATTATTAATATCCGCCTGAAACTTCGTAAATAGCTTCATCTCACCGTAACCTGCAACTATTTTACTTACGAAAACTCTTTGGGAATTGGATCGTTTACAATCTGGAGGGGAGCAAACTTTGTCTATTTAATTAGGTACTAAAAACTAGTAAATACACATTTGCTTTCCACTTGGATCGTAAGATAATTTAATAAAAACAAATCGATAAAAGAAAGGTGGCCTACAAAAATATTGGGCCGTTTGCATTATATGACCTCGTAATTTTGACAATTTCTCGGTGTAGGTCAATATTGTTTAAACCGAACGGCTCAATATTTTTCTCGATTTCGTGCTAACATTATCTTACGATTCTGGTAGTAAGCAAATGATTATTTACGAGTTTTTAGTACCGAATCAAATATACAACGTTTGCCCTCCTCCAGATTTAAAACGCCCCAATTCCGAGATTTTCCGCAAATAAAATATTTGTTGGTTACGATGATATGAAGTTATTTACGAAGTTTCAGGCGTATAATATAAATAATTTGAGAAAAAGGGGACTGTACCTCGGACTACAGTTACTTGCTTTTAAATACAGGATCAATAGGTCAAAAGTCGTCACACTTTTTGTAAGAGTATAAAATAATGTGATTTCACATAGGTGATTTTTGTTGGAATAAATCGATGATGTAAACCCAATTGTTTAAATATAATATGGGACCTAGAATTATTAAACATGAAATGATCATCCATGAAATGATTTTATATTTTGCTTCTTCGTTGACACAAGTACAATGAAATAGTTTTTTAACAATGCCAATGCCTTGGTTAGGTGGATTTTAAATACTTTTTTCAAACTTAAAAATATTTTAAAAGTTTACATTTAATTTCCTTGAAAACATGTGATTTACGTTAAATATTATTAGTTTTCAAAAATTATTATTTATAATTTTTTGCCACTCTCCGTTACCTTCTACAACTTTCCATATTAGTATTATACGTATGCCTTCTGACTATTTGTTCCGGAGATTCGCTTTCGAGCTGGATAAGCATTTTTCTTTATTCTCCTTTGTTCATTCATCGAACTCTTTCAAAAGTTATATTTAGCTCTTTTCATAGCTCCTAACAATGATAGATAGTTAATTCTTGAAAATAAACCAAATTAAAGGTACTTTAGAGGAAGACATTTTGAACATTGGGCATTTATTTAATAAGACCTAGCTGATATTAAAGAACACTCAATAAAACACTGATATACCGAATTTAATCAAAATCGTTAGAGCAAGTTTTGAGAAAATCGTAAAAATGTGTAAAACCAATGATATAAACTTAAACTTAATCTTACTATATATTTAATATATAAAAGTAAAAATGGATATTTTTATTTATATTATATTTACTTCTGGGATAAAAATTGTAGACCATAAGTCACCAATAAAATACGTTTTTATTGTATTTCTTTATTTACGTTTCGGCTTCTTGAGCCACTTTCTTTTTTTTTTTCCTCTTTATTTTTTAATTCACAACTGTCAATGTCCACTGACAACCAGTGAATGAGATAACTGTACAAATAGACTAGGAGAAAGGGCATGATAGGCATGAGGAAGAGAAAAACTCAGTGGTTTATCTTCAGTCATGTTTGTGGTTAATTAAGGAGATCTCTCATCCAACTCCTTTTCAGCCTTCTGCGGATGTTATCGGGCATGTTTTTATTGGCCATGTCTTGGATGAGTCTATTGGGGTGACCATAGTCTTGAGCCACTTTTAACAATATGTGATGCAAAATTTCATTTAAAAAAAAATTAATACATCATTATTATTTAATTTGTCTAATGATACATCCTTTATTTCAGAGAATTTCGTAGTGATTTCTAGTTTGTAGAATACATTAAGTCTGATGTTCTTTTACTATCCGTTTAAGACCGATTATTAATAAAATGAAGAGAAGAATAGTTAGGTTGACCAGTCAAATAAGAAGGCAAAAATAAATGATAATATTTATTTTTGCCTTGTTATTTGACTGGTCACCCCAACTATTCTTCTCTTCATTATTCACGACAGTCAACCATTTACCCACAATTATTAATAAAATGGTAGATTCTTGAAAATTGATCAATAATCCGAAAATTTGGCAAATATAGGAATACAATAAAAAAGTATTTTATTGGTGATCTGTGGCCTAGAATATATTAAATAATAA